CAAAAGACCACCCCGCCAAGGGGGAAAGGCGCGCAGTTGGGCACCGTCTGCCTTCGGCGTCTCTTTAAACGGTGCTCGGATATTGTAAGTCCATAAAGAACTGGGGAAAAATATTGACTCGAGTATAAGCCGAGGGGGGCATTTTTCAGCTCAAAAAATGGGCTGAAAAACTCGGCTTATACTCGAGTATATACGGTACTTTTTCTATGTTTATTTTCTTTTTTATGTTCCTACCAGTTTTTCATTACTGGCATATAATTTTTACATACGTTCCAATGAATCATTTTGGTGACTGTTATGGTGCTTATAGGCAATTTGTGGTACTTTTTCTTCTGTTTCTTTGCAGAGTCTGCACTTAGAATCATTTGATGGTTTTTCAATTCTGCCCTTGATTGCATTAGTTCAGATAGCTTGCTCTTGAGCAGCCAAAGTGGATATAAGGAATTTTTCATGTATTATATTAGAAGATAATCTGTCTTCTAATTTTATTAAAGACCTTTCTGTCCCTGAAGTTGTTCTAATTTAACTCTTATTTTTGTCGCTTTGTCCCAAAGAAAATTGTCTACTTCTTGCCAAAACCACTATACTGCCAAAAACTGTTTGTTTCATATTCAAAATTTCACATTATCTTTCATGCTTTGCATGTCATTTTTTCATCACAATTAGATCAATAATGCTTTTTATATTTGTTTATTATATTGCTGTGTATATGTAAATTGCACATATATAAACATTCTTTACTTAAATTCTTTGATCCTGATGCTGTTGCAACTTCTAACTTAGTTTTTTGTCTTCTACTTGAATATTTTTAAAACAGTGTCTTTATTAGAAATTGAAACATGTAAAATGAAATTCATGTAATCTATGTAACCTTTAGAAAAGTAAGTTTGAATGCCTTCTTTTTAAATTAAAGTTGGAGTGTTTGAAACCTATGAAATAAGATTCTTTTGACCTTAAAATGGTTAATTCAGCAAAATTATCATACATTGGATACATGAGATAATGTTTAATTAAGATATTTTCTTTGTTATTGGAGATACGATAAAGAAGTTGGAAGATGAACTAACACAATTCAGGCTTATAATACTTTGGCTACATTTTGGACTGAAAACATAGGTTTGTAAGTGCAACTCTATAATGAGTGCTGCCACTCAGCGATGCAAACATTCCTCTAAATTATATCTCTAGTAAATGGAATCTGTCAGTGTACCAAGATTAATGGATACTTTGGGCTGGGGTGATAGTCACCCAGATTTGCATCTGGCTTTATTGATGTCAGTTCTTTGTCACCTGTAAGATGTAAATTTGATATTTCAGTTGTGCTTGCTACTGAAGAAGTGTTTAGAATGCTATCCCATTAGATTTTTGGAGTTCTGTTTACATCATTGTAGTCTATGGAAATGGAACACTGTTGACTTGACCCTTGCCTATCTTGACTGATAAGATCTAACAAAGCAATTATTGACTTGGTAAGCATACTGTAAGTGGCATTGAACTCCTTGTAATCACATCTGAAGGAGGCATTATATGCCCTTTCCTAAAGAGAATCTCCCTGTGTCCAAAATAGTTAATATGCCTACTTTGACTATCATTACTGAGAGTATTATAGTCAACTTTAACTGTTCTTAAATTATTCTAGTTTCTGGCCTTAATGCCATACTGCAGGGGTAGACAATTTGAGGGGACTTACAGACATACAGTATTATGTTTTAATAGACTTCTATGACTGCTCATCTCAATTATAGTAGTCCTCAACTTATGACCATAATTCAGCAAATTTATGTTGCTAAATGAGACATTTGTTAAATCAGTTTTGCCCCATTTTACAATCTTTCTTGTCACAGTTGATAAGTGAATCACTGCAGTTATTAAATTAGTTACACAGTTGTTAAATGAATCTGGCTTCCCCATTAATTTTGCTTGTCAAAAGGTTGCAAAAGGTAGGATACTGGGACACTGCAACTGTCATAAATATAATTCAGTTGCCGAGCTTCTGAATTCTGATCACATGACTGGGGATGCAGCATTGGTCATAAGTGTGAAATACAGTCATAAGTCACTTTTTTCAGTACCGTTGTAACTTTAAACAGTCACTAAATGAACTGTTGTAAGTTAAGGACTACCTGTACATGACTCTGGGTAGCTAATAACATTAAAAATATAAAACATACACAAAAAACATAAAAACATATAGAACCTGGGACAAATTACAAAAGGCATCGGTCAACACAGGCTTGAGCACAGAATCAAGTCTTCAAGGTAGGACTTACTGAAAACCAACAGAGACCTGGCCAATCCAACTTCTGGAGGAAGGGTGCCATAATAGAAAAGGTTCTGTTAGATCGGTCATGTGATATTCCTTAACAGATGGTATCTAGAGTATGCTCTCCTACCTGATCAGATAGGAATGGTAGAGACAACTGGGGAGAAATAGTCCCATAAGTAACCTGATTCCAGGCCATAAAGGGCTTTAAAGGTGACTACCAGCACCTTGAATTGCACCTGGAAGTATACTGGTAGCCAGAATAGTTCATGGAGCAGTGGTGTCACATTTGTTGAAAAATAGGTAACACTAACTTCATCTTTACTGGACCTTAAAAGAATCTTAGAAAGTCATAGAGAGTACTAACAAAATCTGTCTTCTATTTTCAGAAATTGGTTGCCCAAATGAAACAGGATCCACAGGTAAAACACGTTTTATTTGTACTCTTAATTGAGTATTATATTATTAAAGTTTAATGTAAGATCCAATTTTATATATTTCTTTGAATTACTTTTTGAAATTAAATTAAAACATAAAATATATTTAGTATATAAGTAGTAGTGTGTTTGATACTTTGTTCTGTTCTTCAGAAAACTGTGATTAATTTTGGGTTTGTGTTAAACCAGTGCCTTAAGACTTATGCTTGCTTTAATCCATAGTTTGTAATTCTGGTGTGACAGACAAGCAAAATCATAGTTCTCTACAGCTGGGTGAATCTATAATTTGCTTTGAACCCAGAAGTAAAATTGAGCAGATTATGGAGCTAGAATAGAGATTGCAGTGTGACATGTAGTCATGTTACAGGTAGACTACAGCTGAGCCCAACATTTTTGTTGCTAAGCAAGACAGTTCTTAAGTTAGTTTTGCCCCATTTTACGACCTTCCTGGCCCCAGTTGTTAAGTGAATCACTGCAGTTATTAAGTGAATCATTTGGCCATTAAGAAAATCTGGGAAGGTTGCAAATAAGTAATTACATGACCCCACAACAGTGCAACTGTCATAAATACATGCCAGTTGCCAAGCACCCAAATATTGATCATGTGACATGCGGATGTTGCAACAGTCATAAGTGTGAAAATCAGCCATAAGTTATTTTTTTCAGTAACTTTGAATGGTCACTAAATGAATGGTTGTAAGTTGAGTATTTCAGAATAGACCTATTTTTTATTATGCATGAAATAAGTAAGCAGCAGTATCAAATTCTATAGGTTAGTGTGTTCATAATTTTTCAAAATTATGAAAAAGTTCCTTGAAACTATGCTTTATATAGACGTTATGACAGATTATAATTCATGTTATACATTTCCTTATAAAATAGCCATTTATGCACAGAACGTTGAAGGAATATTTTTACAATTGTGGCTTTATTAAATATCATACAATACAGGATACATTGTTTCAGTATTATAAAGAAAAGGGCTGTGGAAAGCACATGTAGTCCTCGACTTACGACTACAATTGACTCCAGAATTTATGTTGCTAAGTAAGAAATTTGTTAAGAGTGTTTTGCCCCATTTTATGACTTTTCTTGACACATTTGTTAAGTGAATCACTGCAGTTCTTAAATTAATAAAACGGTTGTTAAGTGAATTTGGCTTCCCCATTGATTTTGCATGTCAGAAGGTCACAAAAGATGATCACATGACCCCAGAACACTGCAACCATCATAAATATGAACCAGTTGTTATGCATCTGAATGTAAATCACGTGACCATGGGGATGCTGTAACGGTTGTAAGTGTGAAAAATGGTCATAAGTCATTTTTCCCAGTGCCATTGTAACTTCGAACAGTCACTAAATGAACTGTTGTAAATCGAGGACTACTTGCATTTAATGAGATATTTGGTGAAGAACTGAGTTCCAAATAGTTTCTGCACACTTCCATTGTGTATGGTCCCAATGGAAGCACTGTCTCTATGTGTATGCTACTCTAGTAAATTGTGTTAGAATTTGAAATAAAAATTCCAGATTTATATCTAACAATTATTATTAGGCTTATCGTCTTAAATGTAGAGAACAGAATTCCAGTATTCTTCATTTTAAGGAACTTGATAAAGTTCAGTGAACGTGTATGCACTAAAACGTTTTGAAGTGTATCTGCTTTTACCTTGTGTTCTTATAAGAGCCAGAGGCTGGAGATCAGATTTAGAGATGGGCAATAGTTTTGTGTTAAAGATCTTTTGAAATAGTTTCATTTTCTTCTTTGCAAAGAACAGCCTATAGAGTTTTCATATTTGCTTTTATAGACCATTTAAAGTCCTCTTGATATCCTTATTAATCATTTCCAGTGAATCATGCTTCATGTTTTGTCTTCTGTCAACTGGGACATTAGCCTGAGAGTTACTAAACAAAAACAATATTAATATATTTTTGCTTTATTAAGCAGTCTTATTGGAAATATTTATCAATGAGCAGAATTGTTATACTTTTTTTTTTTCTAAGCAGAATGCTGACTTGAAGAAGCAGCTTCATGAACTCCAAGCCAAAATCACAGCTTTGAGTGAAAAACAGGTAGGGAACTGGTATACCTTTGACATGGATTCCAAACTTTTATTACGTGAGCAATTGTGTGTGTCTGTAAAAATAGATGCAACAAGCTAGCATTTTAGATTTTCTTTAGTGTATCTACCAAAACAGAAATAATTATTTGGTATTTGTATGTATGTATGTCTTTGAGTCATACAGTCTTTAACTCCTAGCAGCTATTTGGACATGTCCATGCAATTTTCTTTGCAACATTTGCCAGTTTCTCAGGATTGAGGAAGTAACTGGCTTGAAGTCATCCAGTTGCTTTTTGTGCGTAAGGCATTAATAGAATTCATAGCCTCCCAGCTTGTAGCCCAGTGCCTTTAACCACCATTCTAAACTGAATTTCATTTGGGACAATATTTAAAGTGCAGTTTATCTGGGGATGTGCGATACTGGAATCTAGGCTCTGTAACTGTAATGTTATAAAAGAGTATTATGTATACTCTAAAAGGTGCAAATTGGAAAAAAATGGTGACATTAAGAAGAAGAGAGATTACTCAACCAAGGGTTGCATACTGCTTCCAGTTTGCCATTGAATTTGAATGTTGGTGGTGAACTTCCAAGAAACATTGTCTAAATATTTGTTGAACATTAAAGATAGGGAATAAATGATAGATAAATAACAACTAGGCTCTTATGGATTTATATAAAAACTACTCATTAAAGTGTAGGAATGTATGGGATTGCTGTATTTATTTTTTAACCTTTTCTCATTTTTGAAAACGTTATTTAATGAAGAACAGTTGAATGTTTGAATACTCAGTGTGTGCCTATGTGTATGTAATCACCTAGATCTCAAAAGCATCTGGCTAACCATTCCAAGAACAGATTTTTCTTTATGCTTACTTTAATACATTAATAGAAGATAAATTAATGGGTTAATTTTCCCTTTTGGAACGGCCTTTCCCTATCTCTTTCTCCCAAAAGATGCATCTGGTGTGCCCTCACTTCCACTATTTAGGAAGGGAATAAAAAAAGGGAAGATGTCAGGAAAGCTTTCCATTGTTAAATCTTATAATTGAGAGATGGGTTACTGCTGTATAATTCTTATTTTGTGTTTTATTATATTTTCTGTGCTGCGCATTGTATTGTTTCAGGACTGTATCGATCGATGGATGGATGGATGGATGGATGGATGGATGGATGGATGGATGGATAGATAGATAGATAGATAGATAGATAGATAGATAGATAGATAGAACCTCTTAATGTGCCACATAAGGCTAAATGTAACTCTTGGCCTCCAAAACCCTCAATTGAGCATTATCTTACAATATATCTGTTGCAATTAGTTTTATTCTTGAATTTGGAGCATAACTTCTCACTTTATTTTATAGCTTGAGCATGTTACATTACATGTTTGAAAGGCCTGTCACATATGTTTTCAAATATATATCAGACCTGAATTTCTGACTGATACTACAATGTACTATGGAGCATGTATATGCATATAAGCATTCAAGGGAGAAATCTCTGATATGCATATGAATTAAAAAAATCAATTTATATGGCCAACTACTTGCCAGAGTGACTCTGGGTGGCCAACATAACATTAAAAACAAGAATCAACATAAGTAAAATTATAAACCAATAATATTCCGGCTATCAAATACATATATTGATCTTTAAAAATATTTAGGGAAAACTGAATCAGTATAAGATACTTAGAATTGGTTACAACTGAAGTGGCCTATAAGCCCAAATAAATACAGGCAGAATTCATAAACCCCTGTCAGAAACTTTTCTTAAAGCCTCCTTGATATTTTTTCTTAATTATGGAAGGTTCTGAATAGAACAAAAAAAATGTTTAGATCATATGGCATCTTGAGTTATACAAAGGACTTAATGTATTTATTTACTTGATTTATATAACCACCCATCTCACTTTTACATGAAGCAGAGGTAGGAACAACATTCTTTGGTTAGTGTATGCCTCTAAATTATATTCAGATGCTCAGTGAATTACATTTGTTAATATATGCTATCGCAGTATCGGGATGAGGTCTGTATGAAAATAAATTGTGTTGAATACATTTTTAAAGAATTGATATTTATCAAATTTGCCTTGACTCCCAGTGACTCTGGGGAACTCACAGCAATTAAAGCAAAGAAAATACAATAATAATAGTTTAATAGATGATGAGAATGGCAGATTGGACAGGGATGAAGTGTCTTAACTCTTACTCTTCCTTGCTCAACCCCTGGGCAAAGATCCATGTCTTTAAGCACTTCTGAACAACAAAGTGATGGGAAACCTCATTTTGGGGAGCAGATGCTATTAAAGAGAAGGCATTCCAGGGTCCTGATAGATGACATTGTTTAATTAAAGGGAAGAACCAGTTGGTTGTAGTGGTTAAAGCATCTGGTTGGGAACCGGAACACCATAATTACTAGTCCTACTACCTGGGTAACCTTGGGCCAGTCACTGTCTCTTAGTTTTAGGAAGGAGGCAATGTCAAACCATTTCTGAAAAGCCTTGCCAAGAAAGCTGCAGGGATTAGTCCAGGCAGTTACCAGGAGAACACTGACTCAAAAGGACAAAAGAAGTAGGTGGGGGGGACACCCAGACTGTATCACCCCTGCAGGATAGAATCAACTGGATAGATACTATGGAACACTGTATAAAGCAATGTGATTTGTATCTGGGTATTAAATAAAAACAAAGTTCAAATGAATGCATGGAATTTATCTGAGGAAAAATAATATCTGTAGCAAACAAGAGGGCTGAGTACTGTTAAACCAATTATGTACCTCAGAATATTCTTATCAAAAAATAATAAAAAAGTAATGATTCTCAGACTTGGAAAAATAAAAAAAAAGTCAGTTATTTTAATATGGAGAAAGTTAAAATTCTTCCTGGTTAGGAAGGACAGCAGTAAAAATCAATATTTTACCAAAGCTCAATTTTCTATTTTACATGAACCCAATAAGAATTGAAGACAGGGTATAACAAAATACAGAATCAAATAATTTTATAAGATCAAAGAAGAGACCAAGGACCAAGATTTGAGAGAATTGGAAATATATTTGCACTACCAAATTTTAAATTGTATTATCAAGCCATCTGTCTAACTTGGATCACAGGCTAAATTATACTATTGTATAGCTGGGTTGCTTCTCTTGAGATAAGCATTTTGCATAAATATATTTGGCTTGATAGTTATTGAAATATAAAACCTACATACGCAATTCAATCATAAGCAGCATATTAAAAGTATAGATTTGAAATACAGGAGAAGAATCAGCCCAGACTTACTGCCTCTTGTCTCAATGTTAGTTACTTATTTTCATGAAGATGAATGTACAAAATATTTGATGAATTACTAGAGAGATATTTAATATATAATAAAAGAGCTGTTTCTTAATAAAGAAAAGATTCAAGAGTCTTCAGAATAGTTAGAATTACCTAGGTAATTCAATATCTTCAGAATAATTAAAAATGAAGTAAGAAATACAGTGGTATACCTAGAAACCTAACTGAATTTTAACAAATTATAATACAAAACTAAGAACATTTATTTGGAGCTTATTTATAAGTTGTTATTGAAACATGATCTAGAAATTAAGTTAAACATTTTATGATTTAAATGGGACAATTGACTTGTAGCAATGACTGAGAGACAAAGATTAAGTTTACCATTAATATTAGAGAAAATTGGTTTAAGATGTTTTGCGATTGATAAATTAACCTAGTACTCATTGGCAAAACAGATCATTCCTTTTCTAAAAACAGTTGGAAATACAATAATAAGACTGAATCATTCATACACTATTCAGTGCAATACGGTAAAATCTTAACAATTCTGGAAGATAATTTATTATTTATTTATAATTATTATTATAGAATGAATTTTAGAGGTTGAGTTCTTTTTTCTGCATCTATTTTTCTGCTCCTTAGCGGCATCCTGAGGGGAGAATTTGAAACCGTTTGACCAGGGTGTAAGTATCTGTAGATACTTTCTCAGCCCTCTTTTTGATCCATGCAGTATACTGGTCCTCAGTGGAAGACAGGTTGGTTGCAGGGTTTTTTCTGCAGTCCTAACTGTCCATTGAAGTCTGTACCTGTCCTGTTTGGTTGCTGTAACAAACCAGACAGTTATAGAAGTACAAATGACAGACTCAGTAATTCCTCCGTTAAACTGTATCAACAGCTCCTAGGCAGTCTGAACTTTTTGAGTTGACGCAGGAAGAGCGTTCTTTGTTGTGCCTTTTAATGGTTTTGATGGTTCTAATGTTAGATGTAATAAAATAAATTATTTATTTAATAATTTATAAATTATAAATTATAATTTTATTGGAAAGTTCCTCTTCAAAAAAAATGGCAAGTAAAGCAAACAACATTCTATACATCAGGGAGTATACATCAGTGTTAATAATATTTCCTATCTGAAGTACAAGTATGACGCACCATAAAATTTGAGTTGCAAACTATTTATGCATACATATTTTTATCATATTTAAAATGTTGGTATTGTTAACATGATATTTTAATATATTAACTTCTGCTTGAAATATTAAATAAAAGTACAATTTTTACATTTAAAAGAAAATTTTAATTATTCATTTATCTTATATTGTCCAAGTTAGTTGGCTATTGGATATTGAATTGATCTTTACCGTTTGAAATCTTACTTTAATGCTAGAAAATTTACTATGCAGCACTGATCTTATGTTAGATCAATGCTGAAGTAGCTGGGTCTATTTAATTTTCACATTCATGGTGGCACGGTGATATGGAAAAAGACGGCTTAGTTTTGGATTTTCAGTAAAAGTTGTATTAGTTTTGTGCCATGAATTATCCAATTGTTTTAAGGGAGGGTAATTTTCATACTGTAGAGAAATTGCAACCTCTAACTTCTTTTTCTGAGAAAAAAAGAATGATCAGGTCACTAAGTTGCAATGAACTATCTGTATGGTGGGAATTAATTGTGCTTTCATGGCAAATGCAATCAGTAACTTAAATTTCTCACATTAAT